AAGCCCCCCCGTAGTTAAACTCTTTTACATTCTAAAATCCATTTCAAAGCAGACACCCCCCCCACCCTCCTCTGATCAGTTTGCTCCAATAAGAAAAAGCCTTCTTGCCTAGGACGTTTGCACCTCCTGACCCCCTGTCTTTGGCTCAAGTTGGCAACAAGATTTTTACACTAAAAGCCTGATCCAACAAGCCCTGACGTTTTTTTAAAAGGAAACGCGGGGGAATATTTTCATAAGCACCTACGTCCGCTTTCCAAAAGTGACATAAACCCTTAGGCGCCTACATCCTCTTGGCTTTCAACAAGATTTAGGAGACATTGGTAAAAGGGACTAATGATTTTGGCAGAGAGAGAGAGAGAGAGGGTGTGTCTAGACTACATGCCTCCGTCGACGGAGGCATGTAGTCTAGACACACCCAGAGAGAGAGAGAGAGAGGGTGTGTCTAGACTACATGCCTCCGTCGACGGAGGCATGTAGTCTAGACACACCCAGAGAGAGAGAGAGAGAGGGTGTGTCTAGACTACATGCCTCCGTCGACGGAGGCATGTAGTCTAGACACACCCAGAGAGAGAGAGAGAGAGGGTGTGTCTAGACTACATGCCTCCGTCGACGGAGGCATGTAGTCTAGACACACCCAGAGAGAGAGAGAGAGAGGGTGTGTCTAGACTACATGCCTCCGTCGACGGAGGCATGTAGTCTAGACACACCCAGAGAGAGAGAGAGAGAGGGTGTGTCTAGACTACATGCCTCCGTCGACGGAGGCATGTAGTCTAGACACACCCAGAGAGAGAGAGAGAGAGGGTGTGTCTAGACTACATGCCTCCGTCGACGGAGGCATGTAGTCTAGACACACCCAGAGCGAGAGAGAGAGAGTGTGTGTGTGTGTGTGTGTATACACCCAAATTGCGACATCTTAGCCCGGCTCGCAACACTGCCTGCAAATCAGATCTCTTATGCACACCAAGCTATGTGCACAAAACTCAACTGGTCCGACTCATGAGGCCCTTTTGACAAGGGGACTTTGGAGCCTGGGGGGGGGTGTAACATTTTCCAAAGCAACTGAGTGATGGAAGAGCCCAATGTCTATAAAATGCAGGCTCTCAAGGTACAGTCAAAACTGAGACATCTGTGCCCAAGTGATTTAGGTGCCTTGGAAGATTCCAAGGAGTCTGTTGTAAATGACTGTGCAAGACCATCCACGCCAGCTGTGCCATCCTGTCTGAGAGCCGCGCGCGCGTTTGGCGCTGAGGGGTGGGGCTCTACAGCGAGACGTGCGTGGCCCACAAGAGGCACGAGCTCCACCCAGGGGCTTGAGTTAAAGCGTTCTAAAAAATCAGCCCCCTTCGTCACCAAGGCAGCCACGAAGCCCGCAGGCCAGCCAGGCCGATGGGACAGCGGCACAGACAGCCGGGTTAAAATAGGGAAACACTAACAGCCTTGGCTCGCGGATGCCGATTGTCCTGGTATCAGCTAGGCTGGCATCCGGCGCAGGTTTGCTCACCCCCGCTACAGCGGCCTTTTAAAACCAGCTTTTATGGGCAACCCCAGGTTCCGTTCTGGTGCCCGTCACAATGTGGCCTTCATCCAGTCTAGCCCCATGCACAGTGGGGCAGCCAAACCAGCGTAGCTGGGGCCAGTACAGCTTCTCGAGGTGCGCCGCCTGCGAGGTGGGACCGTTGTCCTACCATGGTCTTTTGGGGCCCTTCTTGACGGGCCAGGCTACCCAGGAATAGCCTGTGGGGTTGGCTGCTAAAATAGCGTCTAGCAGCTGTCATGCTTCAGGACTTCCACTCTCTGTCGTGTCACACGCCGGTGCTTGCGACGTGGCCTTTTGCTGATTCCCCCTGCTCCCCCTGCCCCAGCTACCAGCTGCCATGGGAAGCCCGGGGCTGATTCGCTCCTTGTCTTGCACCTTGCACGGCCACATCTCAGTGCAAGTCACCACCGTTCTGAAAACGGTGCACACCTGCCGTGCAAGTGACCGAACGGGTGTGCAAGGCCACCCTGGTACATCAATGGCGCTGTGCGGGCGCGTCACCTCGCTGTAAATGACGCACGGCGCCGACAAATTGGGCCCGGCGGCTCCTGGCTTTTGTCTGCACACAGGAGATGAACAAGACCTAGCGCTTCCAGCGCAGCTAGACTGGGTTAATGCAGAGCCAGGCTTGAAGGGCTGCAAACCCTTGTGTGGTTGCTGCTAGCTCAGTTTACCAACCCTCCTCCCGCCCCCGTTCTCAGGCTCGGGTCAGCCAAACCACAGTAAGTCTGGTTTAAATGGAACCAGGTCCACACGCCCCACTGCACAAGATTAAAAACCACCGCACATTGGTGGATCGTCGGGGCACATCGCTGGCTTGTAATATGTGACGACGCTTTTGTGTAATGAAGCTTTGTTATGGCAAAAGCACTAGGCCCTTTCTTTCTGCCAGTGATGTCCAGGGAGGATGGCTCAGTGGTTAGTGAGGAGGGAGCCGGAGCCAGGTTTGAGTGCCGGCTCTGCCACAGATTCTCTGTATGACCATGGTCAAGTCACTTAAAGGTGTCTCCATTCCATGCCGTGGTGTGACGGCAGCATGTGTAGCCAGAGCCAGGCTGGCTCTAATCTAGCTAAGTGGAGTGTCGATACCAGCTAGGAAGGAACAATCAGTTCCATACATACAAGATGGGAAGCAACTGTCTAGGAAGGAGCATGGCGGAAAGGGATCTAGGGGTCATAGTGGACCACAAGTTGAATATGCGTCAACAGTGTGATGCTGTTGCAAAAAAAGCAAATATGATTCTAGGTTGTATCAACAGGTGTGTTGTAAGCAAAACTCGTGAAGTCATTCTGCCGCTCTACTCTGCACTAGTTAGGCCTCAGCTGGAGTACTGTGTCCAGTTCTGGGCCCCACATTTCAAGAAAGATGTGGAGAAATTGGAAAGGGTACAGAGAAGAGCGACAAGAATGATTAAAGGTTTAGAGAACATGACCTATGAAGCCAGGCTTCATGAACTGGGCTTGTTGAGTTTGGAAAAAAGAAGATTAAGGGGGGACATGATAGCGGTTTTCAAATATCTAAAAGGGTGTCACAAGGAGGAAGGAGAAAATTTGTTCCTCTTGGTTTCTGAGGACAGGACAAGGAGTAATGGGCTTAAAGTGCAGCAGGGGAGGTTTAGATTAGACATTAGGAAAAAATTCCTAACTGTCAGGGTGGTCAAATATTGGAATAAATTGCCAAGGGAGGTGGTGGAATCTCCCTCTCTGGAGATATTTAAGAACAGGTTGGATAGACATCTGTCAGGGATGGTGTAGACGGAGCTTGGTCCTGCCTTGAGGGTGGGGGGCTGGACTCGATGACCTCTCGAGGTCCCTTCCAGTCCTATTATTCTATGATTCTATGATTCTAACCCGCCGCCTGCGCCCCGTGCCGGACATGACGCAGGGGGCAGGGCTTGAGGGGCACACAGGGGTGACGTCACAGGGCGGGCTGGTCTCAACCCATTTCTCAGGCCTGTTTTGATTGCCAGTCCGCTTCTGGATGCAGGCGGGTTTATAAGCCTGGACCCGACCTTTGTGCCAGCCGAGGAGCTAGGGGAGGGCAGAGAGACAGACTGCTACAGAGTCGAAGAGGCGCCATGCCTAGTCAGAACGAGCAGCAAGCAATGTGGATCCCAAGCAACGTGCCCGCTAATCTTTCTGCTTGTGTGCAGATTTTTTCCCACCCGTGTGCGGAATAATTTTTGTGCACCCAGGCATGTGCGACTGTGCACCGCCACTAGGGACAAGACAGAGGTTAGCCAGCTGGGCTGCCGGATGACTGTGCTGGAGCCATGAGCTCCGTTTGGGTCTTGTAGGTGCTACCATCACCCCTCCCCCAAACAGCTGTTCTTGGGGAGAATTAAAAAACCCGCAAAACCCAACCCCTCGGCCTCAAAGTCCAATTTTCTCCCCCCTTCAAATGGAAGAAACAGCGTTTAAAATCCTGACAAAAACGATCATCGAGGACCTGAGCGGCACGGTGCTGTTCATCTGAAACGCACACTGGGATGGGAGGAGACTGCCCGGGGAAGTGGGCTAAGCTCTGTCCGCGTACAGCGGGATGTCAGAGCTGCTGTGGATCCCAAGCAATGTGCCCGCTAATCTTTCTGCTCATGTGCAGATTTTTTTCCCCACCCGTGTGCGGAATAATTTTGTGCACCCAGGCCTGTGCGAATGTGCACCGCCAGTAGAGACACAAACCCAGCTGTGGGCGCTCTGCTGATTGGTGGGGCAGGGCGGCACCAGAATCTCTCCTGAGTGGCTACCCAAACGCACGGCTTCCAGGGACCACTGGGCCAAAGGAGGGAAAAAAATGACTTCTGCTTTGCCCTTACAGACAGCCCCTTTCCCCTAATGCACTCCACAGAAGGGGGCACGTATCAGGACCCCTGTATTACAGATGGGGAAACTGAGGCATGGAGGGAACTGCTGCTCTGACGCAGACGCTGCCTATGCCAACGAGATCCTGGACCTGCTGCCTGCCAAGTGTATGAATGTCTGATATCACTAGACTCTACAGGGCGAATGCGCGGATTTACCAGCGATGTGCGAGACCGACGAGACACGATGCAAGGACACGCGCCGCCCAGGATTTCAAACTCGGCTCACGTGACACAGAGACACGCCGTCGCTCGGGCCGATTGGCTGCTGCAAACCTGGCTTGGTTCACGCACGACTCAGTGGGACAAGAAAGCAATGGCAGGGGGGGAGGGCGACGGGGGTTGCGTTGCTCTCGACACACCGCAGGTGCCCGATGAAACAAATCAATGAGGCGTCGGAGAATATTATACAGCCAAGAGCCGTGAGCACACGTTGCACATACCACTAGTTCACACCCACACGTGTAAAATTAAATGGAGCACGTGGTCGCCCGCGCACACCCTAGGGCAAGCTCCACAAAGGGATTCTGGGTTGCTGCTCTGTGGCAGGGCGCCTAGACGTTAGAAACCGCCTTTGAGGATCTGGCCCTAGCCCCGCCAGGCCAATCGGCCGCCGGCCCAGTGAATCGATTCACGCTGCCAGGGCCGGGCTATTCCCAGGCTGAATTTAGTGCACAGAGGGGTTTTTTCCCCCCTCTCCTTCTCAGTGAAGTTTTCAAACCTCCCCAACTCCCGCAACGAATGAGCTGATCCTCACACATGTTATGACACCGGAAAAAGGGGGGGAGCGGAGGGGAAAGAAGGAGATGGGGGAGGGGAGCAAAAAAATAAAATCATCAATATGAGAAAATAAGACATTTCACAGTGTCTAACAATTCTAATCTCCCTGGGGGGGGTGGGGGAAACCTGGGGGCGCACCCCCCACTCACTGCAACACCTGCCCGCGCGTCTCCTCACACATGTTATGACACCGGAAAAAGGGGGGGAGCGGAGGGGAAAGAAGGAGATGGGGGAGGGGAGCAAAAAAATAAAATCATCAATATGAGAAAATAAGACATTTCACAGTGTCTAACAATTCTAATCTCCCTGGGGGGGGTGGGGGAAACCTGGGGGCGCACCCCCCACTCACTGCAACACCTGCCCGCGCGTCTCCGGCAGCTTCAACGCTAGCGAGCTGCCCACCGCCAGTGCCGTTGAGGCCAGCAAAATGGGCACGGCTTTCGTGATGCCGACGAAGGATGTGAAGATGCTGATGCCCAGGACGGCCGCCAATTTGCAGAGGGCATTGAGGAAGCCGAAGGCTGTCGTCCTAGCAAAGAGGAGAGAGGGGATGAAGATATGGGGGAAGGGAGGAAGGGGATGAAGAAACTGGACAGGCTGTTCCTGGCTCTGCCACTGATCTACTGCATGGCCTCGGTCAAGTCACTTTTCCTTGCTCCGGTTCTAGTGTGAGCTCTTTGTCGCAGGGCCTGCTTCTCTTTCGCTATACGCACAGTGCCTGGCACAATGGGGCCCCAAGCTCGGGTGTGCTCATAACCCCCAATGCTGGAGAGAGGAAAGGATTTTTATTTGAGAGAGAGAGAGAGAGAGAGACACTGATCTACTGCATGGCCTCGGTCAAGTCACTTTTCCTTGCTCCGGTTCTAGTGTGAGCTCTTTGTCGCAGGGCCTGCTTCTCTTTCGCTATACGCACAGTGCCTGGCACAATGGGGCCCCAAGCTCGGGTGTGCTCATAACCCCCAATGCTGGAGAGAGGAAAGGATTTTTATTTGAGAGAGAGAGAGAGAGAGAGAGAGAGACACACA